AAAATAAGAACCAAGATACTCATGTAATGGTACAAGATCCCAATGATGAATGTAACTGTATTTTATACCTAAAATGTACCAATAAACTTAATAGAGAAAAAAAAAGATACAGACTGGCAAATGTGATCAAAAAACAAAACATTCACGTATTGCCTGCAGGAGACACACTGCAACTAAAAGCAAGTACATAGATTTAAGTGAAATAATGGAAAATGATACTCCACTCAACCAGAACCCAAATACAACCAGGACTGGCTGTCTTGTTTTGAGACATAGCAGTCTTCAAGCCAAAACTGATCAGAAGAGACAAAGATGGCCACTAGATTCTGGTAGAGGGAATAATTCAACAGGAAGAGATAAAAATGTAAACCCAAATCACTTGTGCAACACCCCCAACTTCATAAAACAAAAACTACTGGACTTAAAAGGATAGACACCAATACAATCACAGTGGGGGACATCAATGCCCCGCTCTCACAATTAGGTCAATCAGATAAAAAATTCAACCAAGAAACATCAGAGTTAAACTAACCACTGATCAAATGGGGTTAACAGATATCTACAGAGTGATTCATCCAACAGGAATGCACTTCTTAACAGCACCTGGAACTTTTCAAAAAATAGACCATATCTTAGGCCATAAAGCATGCTTAAATAAATACAAAAGAATTGAAATAATCCCTGGCATACTATTGGATCATAGTGGGGGAAAAACTAAAAATCAGTAACAAAAGATGCCACAGAAACTATGCAAATACATGGAGATGAAATAATACATTATTGGATAATCAATAAATCACAAAAGAAATCAGAGGAGAAATTTTTTTAAATCCTAGAATCAAATGACAATGTAAGCACAACATATCAAAACCCATGGGACACAATGAAATGCACACATAAAAAGAATAGCATAACACAAAATAAATAACTTAATGATGTATGTCAAGGTCCTAGAAAGACTAGAACAATCCAAATCTGAAATTAAGAGAAGGAAAGAAATTATAAAAATCAGAAGTAATGAAATTGATACTAAAAAATACAGAGAATCAATGAATCAGAGTTGGGGTGTGTGTGTGTGTGTGTGTGTGTGTGTGTGTATGGTTTTTTTGAGACAGGGTGTCAGTATAAAATTCAGGCTGGCCTCAAACTCACAGCCATCCTCCTACCTCAGTCTCCCAAGTGCTGGAATTATAGGCGTGCACCACAATACCCATCTAAAGAGTTGGTTCTTTGAAAAGATGAGGAGGAGACCTTGGGAGAGGGTGTGGAGATGGGAGGGAAGGGAAAGAAAGGAGAAGTAAAAATGGCCAAGATGTGGTATATGTACATACCAGTTCCCCAAGATGAATGTATATACTATGTATCACAAACATATACTAATAAAAAAATTGAGGAAAAAAAATTATGTTTGAGACAACTTCAATCTCCATATGTTCTTCATTAAAGTCAAGACACAATATGAAATATGGCCACAAAAACAATCAACAGCTTGCTTCCATTTCCAACATCTTATCTTTGTGAAGCAGGGTTTCCTACAGTGACAAGAACCAAAACAAGATCATGGAGTAGACCGCACATAAGAACACACTTCAGGTGTCACTGTCTCCCGTCAGTCCCAGATGGGACCACTTAATCGCAGGAAAACAAGCTCAGGACTCCCACTGATTGTGTATTGGGTGAGTTATATAATTATTTCATTATATATTACAATGTAATAATAGAAATAAAGTGCACAGTAAATGTAATTTGCTTGAATCATCCTTAAATCACCCTCCCCTGTTCTGTGGAAAAACTGTCTTCCACTAGCAGCAGCTGCAGATGCTAAAAGGTTGGGGACTGCTGAGATACACAAATAGCTAACAAGTACATGGCAAGGTGGTCTACATCATTCATCACTAGAAAAATGCAAATTAAAGCCATAATGAAGAGCATTTCACACCCACAAGAATGACCATAATTTTTAAAAAGAAGAAAATGTTGGCAAGGACATAGGGAAATTAAAACTGTCATACACTGCTTGTGGGAATGTAAAATGATATAGCCACTGTGGAAATCAGTTGGCACTTCTTTAATAAATCAGTTTGGTAGTTCTTTAATAAATTAAACAGAAAGGTAACAAATGACTTAGCAATTCCACTCCTAAGTAAACAAAAAATTGAATACAGGGCCGGGATTCAGCTCAGTGGTTCCACTGCCTGCCTCGCAAGCTAAGGACCCAAGTTCAATCCCCAGTATGAAAAAGAAAAATTTGAATACAGGGCCAGGGATTTAGCTCAGTGGTTCCACCACCTGCCTCGAAAGCACAAGGTCCTGAGTTTGATCCCTGGTACCAAAAAATTAAAAAAATTAAAAATTGAATGCAGGGCTGGGGATCTAACTAAGTGGTGCTGCTGCCTGCCTCACAAGTGCGAGGTCCCAAGCTTGATCCCTGGTACCAAAAAAAAAAAAAAGCAAATTGAATACAGATGTTCAAACAGCTATGGTACACAAATGTTCATGATAACTATTACAATAGCCAAAAGGAGAAAACAACTCAAATGTCACTGAATGAAAGGATGGATAAATAAATGCTATATATTCATATAATGACAAATTATTGAGCTGTAAAATGGAATAAAGAATGGATATTGCTACAACCTGGATGGACCTTGAAGACATAATGTTAAGAGAAAGAACTTGTGTTATACAATTCCATTTAAATGAAGTGTCCAGAACAGATAAACCCACAAAGACAGGAATCAGATCAGTGCTTACCTGGGCAGGAGAAGAGGAGAACAGTGAGTGACCTCTTAGCACAGGGGATGAAAATGCTCTGGGACTAGACAAACATGGTGAATACGCAGCACTGAAAATGTCTAAATGCCACTGTGCATTTTTAAATGGTTTATGTTATGTGAATTTAACCTCAGATTTTAAAAGAAAACAGGAAAGATTCAATATTTTCAAAAAGACAACTGTCCTTTTTCCAGATTCAGTAATAGGAACATAGCATCATATGGCACCTCTGTGCTCTCAGAAAAAACAAAACAAAACACTTGGCAATGCCAGGCATGGTGGCATACGCTTGTAATCCCAGCGTTATAGGAGGTTGAGGCAGAGTATCACAAGTTCAAGCCCAGCCTGGGCAATTTGGCAACCTAGCGAGATCCTGTTACAAAATAAAAAGTTTGAAAAAAGGACTTGGCTCAGCTCTTTCACTTGATACTATTAGGTGGGGCTGACATTCGGCTCAGTGAGTTATGGAGGCACTGGTGTTGGTGGCAGATGTCCCCTCCTGCCTAGATCTCTTTTTATGCCTTAATCATACCAGTTGTTAAATACGTTTTTTATATCACCTCTGCCACTCTGTCAGGCACTATTCTGAGCACTAAGAATGGACCAGTGAACAAATCAGACAAGTGCCCCATCTTCATGGAGTTTAAATTTGCATTCCGGGGGAGAAATGGTTCAAAATGTAATTATGATATGTAGGCTATAGAAGAGGCACTATGAAGAGAAAGTAGAAGGGGGATAAGAGGTGTTGGAAATTGTATTTCCAGTCATAGCTGAAGAACTCCTATGAAACTGGCCCTGCTGCAGGTAACATGATAAACTCTGACCAGACCAGGGTTGGAGGCGAGGGTAAGGAAACAACTCAGAACCTACCTGAAGGTTCTGTAAAAAAACAAAAAAAGGTAGATTCCAAAAGTGGAGGGACTTTTAGCTTTTTTGGAGATCCTAGTTTGCAGCAGAGCTAAGCATGGAACATGTAGAGTTTAACTGGCTCAGAGAAACAAAGGATGGAGCTCAGGCCAACCTCAGCCGCTGGAAACGGAGCTCCAAACTTGGGGGAAGCTCCTGCCCAGACCTGTGGGTGGCCTGTGCCACCCACACAAGAGGCCAACTCCATGCTGCCCAGCAAAGGTTAAGAGAGGCAAAGTGACATTGAAGCTTCTGCTCACAGCACGGTAAACAGTGCTATCTTTACTATCTGTGTCCCGCCAAGTTAACCAGCTGATATTTTAAAATTCAATACTCTTCAGAGTGCACTAGGATAGAAGAAATAAAGATAGATATAAAGGAGACGAGGAAGCCAAGGCCTGAGCACTAGCCCAGCATGGGCTACATAGCAAGACCCTGTCTCAAAAAAACAAAACAAAAAAAAAAGAGAAAAGAGAAAAAGGAGACAGGGCTGGGTATTTAGCTTAGTGGTTCCACCGTCTGCCTCGCAAGTGCAAGGTTCCGAGTTAGATCCCCGGTTCCAGAAAAAAAAAAGGAGACAAGGAAAATCATAATTTAAAAATTGTACATTTAAGAAAAACTGCAGCTTCAGGACACTAGGATACATTGCTTTTTTCCCTTCTAGGAAACTCAGGCCAGAGTAATTCTTTTCCTTTGAGACAGTATCTCACTAGGTAGTTCAGGCTGGCCTCAAAGTCATAACAATCCTCCTGCCTCAGCCTTCCCAGAGTTGGGGTTACAGGCATGCACCACCATGCCAGGCCTAGAATAAATTTTTTAGGGTTTTAAAGACACAATAAGCCTGTGAATAAGGCCCATGTTTCTACCTGTAAATTGAGTCTGTGCTCTTCCCGCAAAGACTTCCAACCTTAAGGAAGCAGCACTATTAAGTGGGCAGCAAATTCCTAAACTTCAGACACATGCAAATGTCTGCACTGTAACCTCACCCACCACATGTGTAATCTGACAAACTGCATGAATGCACATCCTGGGTCACCAAGACACCCCCAAAAGCACATTGAACCCCAGCCCCAGACCATGGTGTGCTCTCTGGGCCCTGCATGCTACTCTCCCTGAGTGTGTACTTCTTCACTTCTGATGCCTCCACTGATGGGTCACTTTCCTGTCACTGCAGTCAAACTGCTCCACGTGTGGGGTGAGCTGTCCCCATCTCCTCTTTGGGGGACCTCCTCAGACCACATCCAGTGATAAGAGGATCTGAAAGAATCCAAATCAGTCTCGGTGTGCAAAGGCCACTTTCCCACCTGCTGCTCTTTGTACCTCCTCACAGTCTCTAGCAGTCTCTTCTCAAACTTTTTTAATAGGAATGGGAAGATGAGCACATCCTCCTGGAAGAGGTTGGCAGCCAAATATCAAGAGTTTAAAAGTTTGTATACCTTTTAATCCAATAATGGATCTTATCTTTTAGAGATAAACAGACAGGTGTGCAAAGATATATGTACAAAATGAAGGATAGCAAGGCCAGGCATGGTGGTGCCTGCCCATAATCACAGCAATCAGGAAGCTGAGGCAGAAAGATTGCTGTGAGTTGGAGACCAGCCTGGGCTATATAGAGTGGAACCTCAAGTTACAACTGGCCTGACAGATGAACAACTTGGGTTATGACCAGAATTTTAGTTTTAACTTACAAACAGTCTTGAGTTATGACTCAAATGCCAGCCACTTGTGTGGTTGTAAACAAAGACTCAAGGGCTGGTCAACAGAAAGAATAAAGACATCAGAATTGTGTCAGGAGGTGCATCTGAAGGAGGCCAGGCCCCAAGCTAAAGATGCAATGGCCAGGTCTCCATGCCTCCCTGAGGCATGTAAGTAAGTTAAGCAGTAACTGGAATTATACTGTAATTAACACCACCAGGTCCCAGAAGTCCAGATAGACATCAGCTACCCAGGTGGGTGACCAGGGCATCTGAACCCATTCCTTCTAAAAAATCCCTTTGTTCTGTCCATGAACCCTTGCTATGTGACCCATTTCCCTCTTGGACCGATATTAGCTAAGCAGCTTGGTTGATTATAGTTTGACCCATGTTGTACCCACATTCTCACTTTGCTGTATAAATCACCCCTGACAAAGGGCTTCGATGGCAACCCACTTCTGGGAAATCTCTTATCTCTCAGGGGTTATCTCTCAATAAAACTTTCCAACTTTTAACCTCATATGTCCTTTGGAATTCATTCTTTGATTTCAGGGGACACGAACTTGGCACGTCTGACATCTAGCAGGTTGGGCATTATATTTCTCCTATAGCAATACGTGGGACTTTTGGCAGGTAGTTAGGTCATAGGTGTGCAATACTGGATTATGGAAATGATAGTTGGATTAGTCCACTGATTGGTTTAGCATGATTTTGGGTGTGGATAATGGGAAGACCCACCCTAGGTGTGGGTGGCACCAACCAATAGGCTTGTAGCCTGGGTAAAATAAAAAGGGAAAGGGAGACTCACTGCTGGCTGCTTTCTACCTGCCGTGCTGTGGACCATTTCTCCTCTGCCATGTCCTTCTGCCAAGTTGCCCTGCCTTGCAACCAGTCTTGGACTAAACCTGCTACAAACTGTGAGTTAAAATAAACCTTTCCTCTTTTAACTTGTGGGTGCCCAATATTTTTCTCCCAACAACGAGAAAGCAACTATGATAACCATTGACTCTGGATTTTAGAAGACAGGAGGTGGTATCTTTTTCATCAATAAATGCCTAACAGCAAACTAAGTGCCTATTTATATACTTAATTAACATTCTTTCTTGCTGTCACTTGCTTTTCTGAATGACATGCTTACAGTCATACAAAGAATTTTTTCTCAATCCTATAGTGAAATTCTATTTGAAGGTTACCTAGTGAAAATAGGAGCCACTAGAGTAGACATTTGTCAGTTATTTGTGTGTGTGTGTGTGTGTGTGTGTGTGAATGATTGCTGTCCTAGATATTATTTCAGATAATCTGATGTACAGCAAAATTTCTAATTTTAAAATCATAAAATTCTAAATAATATAGAATATTCTCCATTTTCTTTTCCTTTTTATTTTTATTTTTTCTTGGTGCTGTGGGTTGAACTCAGGTCCTTATGTATATAAACACAGAGTCCCGCACTGAGCCACTTCCCCAGGAAGATTTGCTATTTTCTGACTGAAGGCGCCAAGGTTGGAAATTAGTCCAGCAAGTTTGAGTGGTGCAGATTCTCAAGGTCACTACAACCTGAGTACTTCCAATTTGTTGCTTCCCCATACTTGAGGGCAGTGGTGGCAAACCTACGGCACATGTGCCTCAGTGGGCTGTTGATATCATTGAAAGCTCTAAGAGATTCACCATCACTGCTCAAGGGGGTTGTCCTAGTCCACACAGTCAAAGATAGTAAAATATCTGGATTTCAGACTGCAAAATTGGGCCAGAGAACATGGAAAGCAAACAGTATTCTTTTAAGCACATGACCTAGAAATTATGCACATTAGTTCTCACATCTCATTAGCCATAATTTAGCTACATTCAAAGGAAAATGAGAAATTCAGTTTTTTCTGGGTAGCTATATGCACAGCAAAATTCAAAGGGTTGTATAAAAGCAAGAAGTTGGAATGGATATGGGGGCATGAAGTCTTGATTATATATTTATAATCCATAAATACAGTTATGCATTGTGTAACATTTTGATCAATGACAAACCACATATACATATACCGTAGTGGTTCCTTAAGATTTTAATGGGACTGAAAACTTCTTGGTGTCTAGTGACTTCATAGCTATCATAATGTCATAGCCCAAGATATACTCATTTGTTAATGTTTATTAACATTATGTGAACAAACCTATTGTACTGCCAGTGATATAAAAACATAGCACATAAAGTTATGTACAGTACATAATACTTGATAATAAATGACTCTTGCTACTTTATTAACGACTATATTTTTATCATTACTTTAGAGTGTACTCTGTTTGTTTTAAAAAGTTTTTTGCTGCAAAAACATTTGCTAAGTTATACAGGCAGCAGCCCAAATACCCTGTGTTTACCCCATTTCTTGATTGCATCAAAAGGCCACATCAAATGATTGACCTATGTCATGTAGGTTTGTGCAGGTACACTCCATGATGTTTGTACGATGATGAAATTGCCTAACCCTGCATTTCTCAGAACATGTCCCCACTGATCACAGCTGTTAGCATTTGTGGCACATGGGCGAAGTACCCAGTAGTTCTTGCACATTATCTGATTGACCCTGTATTGTAGAAATGTCTTGGATTCTCATTTTATAAATAATTAACCTGAGCTTAGAAAAACACAACAGAACGTGCAGTTGCTACTTCTATATCCATTCTCCTCCTCATCCTTAACAGTAGAAAACTCAATTTTTATCAGGGCACAAGCCACCCAAGATATTTACATCTTTCAGACTTAATTTGTCCAAGCTGTGACAATGACTAAACTGATATGTAGCCAATGGTTTATAAGCATAATCATTGTGTAGTTGTTTCTGAAACTCTCTCCTTTTTTTTTTTTTTTTTGTACAGGGATTGAACTCAGGACCTTGCACTTGCAAGGCAGGCACGGTACCACTGAGCTAAATCCCCAGGCCTTCTGAAACTCTCTTAAAAGATAGTTGACCTCTATGCATTCTACACTGGCCTTCGCCCTTTTTCTCCTTCAATGTGTTGTCACGCAGAGCTCAAGTACTTTTCCCGCACTATGCAGTTACACCTACAGATGTTGTGCTTGCAAAATGTAAAGAACCAAGGTCCCTCCTGATCACTATTCATCAGCCACCATATCAGCCCTCTACTACCTGTATCTGGATTTCTTTTATGTCAAAGAGAAATAAATCTCTGTCTTGTTTAAGTGCTGCTAATTTGGGTTTTTCTGTGGATGCAGATGAACCCTAACAAGCATCAAAGATCACTTGGCCCCACTCATTCAGCCAGTAAGTGATGAGATTGGAAACAAAATAACACCAGTGCCTTTGGCCACTGTATTGTAATAGATTATGTCCTACATTAAGTTCTGGAAGATCTAGGAGAAGACATTCCCCGCTGAGAACTTCGTAGGAAGAGTGTCTATTTGGAGCTTGACAGTCCTCTCAGTTTTTCTCAGGATAAAAAGAGAGAATTAATCCTTCCTCCTCCAAATGTTGCCAAAATTCTACTCTGTGACTTTTCTCCATCTCAAATAAAATAAAACTAACATCATCATATACTTCCAGAGTAATCAGATCTCAAAATGACAGGCTACTTCTCACTCCAAAGCCAATAAGGATTCACACAGGAAATAGAGACATACATTTATTTAAATATTTATTTACTATAAATCATGAAAATTGAATGCAATAGTACGGAACACAAAATATGCCATTTTTCTTGAATCTTTTTGGTTTTTGTTTGTTTTTTGTTTTCTTACAAGGCGGGCTGCAGAACCACTGAGCTAAATCCCCAGCTCTGTTTTTTGTTTTCTGAGACAAGAGTCTCACTAATACTTCAGGCTGGCCTAGAACTCACTATGTGCCCCAGGCTGGACCTTGAACTCAAGGTGATCCTCTTGCCTCAGCCTCCCAAGAGCTCTGGGATTACAGCATGTACCATCATGCCAAGGCTAATTTTTTTTTTTTGGTATTGGGGATCAAACTCAGGACCTTGCATTTTCGAGGTGGGTGCAGTGCCACTGAGCTAAATTCCCGGCATCAAGCTTAATCTTCTTTTTATACTTTTTTTTAATAAAATTTTTTCTCTAACCCAAGTATGTCTAGACTTGAAAAGAGTATAACTTTCAATTAACTCAAACTTATGTTCCTCAATGTTTCTCATCTTATCTTAGTGGCATTTTTATCTACTTTTAATTCTAAAAATACAATTTGTAATGACATTAAATATATCAAATACATAGAAATAATCTTTTTTTAGTTTTCACTCTAAAGTCAGAAACAAGACAAGGATGCCCACTGGCACCACTTTTGTTCAATATAGTTCTGGAAACATTAGCCAGAGCAATCAGACAAGAGACCAAAATAAAAAGAATAAGGATAGGAAAGGAAGAAGTTATCATTATTTGCGGATGACATGATACTCTACATAGACGACCCCCAAAACTCCACCAAAAGACTTCTAGATTTGATAACTAAATTCAGTGGTGTAACTTGATACAAAGTCATCACTGAAAAGTCAATAGCCTTCCTGTACACATCAGACACTAAGAGAAAAAATAGAAAAATAATCCCTTTCACAATAGCATCCCAAAAAACTAAATACCTAGGAATCAATCTAATTAAGGAAGCAAAAGACCTCTACACTGAAAACTGCAGAAAAAAAAAAAAAGAAAGAAAGAAAATCACAGCATTCTGAAAAAGCAGATTGAAGAGGAAATCAGAAAATGGAAAGGTATTGTTCTTGGATAGGCAGAACCAATACAGTGATCATACTTCAAAAATTGTTATACAATCTTAATCAAAATCCCAACAAAATATCTCACAGAATTAGAAAAATCCATTCTAAAATTCATTTGGAACCAGAAGAGACCTAGAATAGCAAAGGCAATTCTGGGCAACAAAAGCAAAGCAGAGGGTATCACAATCCCTGACTTTAAATTATACTACAAAGCTATGGTGATAAAAATAGCATGGTACTGGCAAAAGAACAGACCTGAGGATCAATGGAACAGACTAGAGGATGCAGAAACAACTCCAGACATACTCAACCACCTTATTTTTGACAAAGGAGTCAAACACCCTCACTGGAGGAAAGATAGCCTCTTTAATAAATGGTAATGGAAAAACTAGCTTTCCACATGCTAAAGATTGAAACTAGAGCCATAACCTAAAATCGAAATGGATCAAAGATCTAAATACTAAAACAGAAACACTAGATCTGCCGGAAAAGAGAATAGGTAGAATGCTTGAGGACATAGGAGCAGGCAAAGACTTCATGAACAAAACCCAGACTGCATGAGAAATACTACAAAGAATCAACAACTGGGATCTCATTAAAAAGCTTTTGCACGGCAAGAGAAACCACCAACAGTGTGAAGAGACAACCTAGAGTGGGAAAAAATTTTTTACCAGCTATTCAGATAAAGGACTATTACCTAGAATATATAAAGAACTCAAAAAAATCAGACTCCCCAAATTTAAAGACCCAATAAATGGGCATCTGAAATAAAAAGACACCTCTCAGATAAAGAATTAGAATGGCTAATAAATATATGAAAAAATGTTCAACATCTTTGGTCATTAGAGAGATGCAAATTAAAACAACACAGATTTTATCTCACTCCAGAAAGAATCGCTGCTATCAAGAAATCAACCAATAACAAATGCTAGAGGGGGCTGTGGGGAAAAAGGAAACCTTCTCCACTGCTTGTGGGAGTGTCAACTGATTTCCACTGTGGAAATAAGTGTGGAGATTTCTCAAAAAGCTAAAAGTAGAAGTTCCATTTGATTCAGCTATTCCTCTTCTTGGTATCTTCCCAAAAGAATTAAAAGAATCATACCACAGTGATATATGCACACCTATGTTTATAGCAGCACAGTTTGTAACAGTTACATCTTGGAAACAGCCCAAATACCCATCAACTGACAAGTGGATAAAGATGATGTGGATTTTTTTTTTAATACAATAGAGTACTACTCGGCCATAAAGGATGAGACATTTATAGCTAAATGGATGGACCTTGAGACCATACTCTTAAGTGAAATAAATTGGACACACATGTGTAAATACCGCATTGTTTCTCTGGTATGAGAAACTGAATGTAGAAATAAGGATGGAAATGTATAATGGATGTTGGGAGATGGGAAGAAAGTGTTCAAGTGGGAAGAGGAACAAGGGAGAAGGGGAGGGGTAAAGGAAGGAAGGGACAAGAAAAAAAGTGAAAATAGAAGAAAAAAATGGAAACAAAGCTTTTGTACATAGAGAGGAAAGGGGAGGGGCCTTAAGGGGGAATGGGATAAAGTAAAATTTATCAATAATAAAAAAGAAATAATCTTTTTAAAAAATGTATAAAACTATTACATGAAAACTATACATCAACAATGAGAGAATTTTGAAAGACCTGAATTAATGCAGAAAATAATGTAAAGGACTGAAGCGGCCAGGTTGTAGCTCAGCGATAGAGCACATGGGTCCTGGTTTTAATTCCTAGCATACACACACAAAAGAGACCATGGATTAATTAGAAGATGAAATCTTTATTTTGTTTTCTTAGTCAAATCTTTAAAATTTACAGAAACACAGAAGAAAAAAAGTAAATTGAAGGAAAAAATGGAAACAAAGCTTTTGTGTATACGGGGGGATGGGGAAAAAAGCAGCAAGATATATCATGTACTGGTACAAATTCTCTATGATGAATGTTATCATTACATGTATCTAAAATGTACCAATAAGTGTTTTGCTAAAAAAAAATCCACACAAACACAAAGCTAACCACAATAAGATACCACCTATTACCTATCAGAGTAGCTATTACAAAAAAGACAAAAGATAACAAGCACACGCTGGACAAATGCACTACCCTGAGCTATACCCAACCTCATGTGCAACTCCCATAACTGTCATCTAAGTGCAGGATTCTCAAAATGACAGGTCCCGCCAGCCCTGCAGCCTGATTCCAAACCTCTTTCCATCTGCCAGTTTGACCCCACCCCCCATACTTCTCAAGGTGCACCCAACCCCACCCAGTCAGCCTGAGAGGGCTCGGAGTCATTGCCAGCTCATCCTCTGCTTCACTCCCACATTTCCTCGACCATGTTCTAGCTCTGCACCTTTGGAATGTTTCTCCTCTTTGTCAGCCTAGGATCAGGCTACTCACAACAGAATTTTTAACTGATCTCCAATTCCTTGCTTTAGGCCTGTGTAAAATAAGCTGTTTCTGGTTTGATTCTGCCTCCATAGTCCGAAAGGGGCAGACTCCAGAGTCCTGTGCTTTTGCTGAGACTCCTCAACTTTGCCAAATGCTCCAAGCTTTGCCATTCACGTGCTATGTGGACCTTGCCAAAGGTTTATCTGTGCACACTTTGGGGGCTTCCTAGGAGTTGTGTTCTTGCATAGCAGGGAATCTTGTTCCAAGACATGACTGTTTCCCCTATAGTCTTAGGGACAAGTCCCAAGGTAAAGGGACCAAAAGGGTATTTTTCTCTTCCCAGGAGCCCCATGTAAAGTGTCATGAGTTCCCAGAAGAAAAAAAAAAAAGAATCTCATTAGGAACTGCTATGGCACAAAGTAAGCAGCTGAGTCCAATTAGCTTTGTGACCCTGCCAAATGTAGCTTCAACTTCTTCATGCAGAACATGAGGGTCCAACCTCTGCTTACCTCAGTTGCACTGAGTAAGGAGGAAATGTTATGGCCTCATGTGGCCAAGGTGGGGAGTTTTGAAGGTGGCTGGATTGGGGTAAGTGAATGTGGATTAAGGGTATGATGCTAGGATTAAGGGTGCCCAGCCTGGGGTGTGGGTGGCACCAATCAAAAGGTGTGTAGCCTGGATGGGATAAAGGGGAGAGGCAGGCTTGCTGCTGCTGCTTCTGTTTCACTGTTTGCTGCTTCAGTGTCCTCTGGCTGCCTGCCATGGACTGTTTCTCTGAGATATCCCTTTGCCATGCCACCCTGCCTTGGAGCCAGCTAACGATGGACTAAAACCTCTATAAACTGTGAGCTAATTAAACCTTTCCTCCTTTAACTTTGGGTGACAGGTTTTTTTGTCTCAGTAATAGAAAAGTAATTAAGGCAGGAATTGTCTTGGGGTGCATATAACATATATAAAATAGTTAATGTGTATAAGAAAACTATTTTGACTTATTTTAGCATTTGAAGTTATTTTACAAAATAACAAAACAAGCCCAAGTTTAATGAGTAAGAAAATTTGC